CGCATGACAATCGCATTCGATTAATCGTGCAGCCCTAAATGAACGTCAATAATAATTTAAAATGACTTTTTAAATAAAAATTTACATTTAAAAATTTTCAAATAAAATTTAAGTTTCGGTTTTAAAATAATAATAAAATAAAATATTTAAAACTGTAAACGAGAAAATTTACATATGTAAATAAAAATAAATATTAGTTTAGAAATATAAAATATAAATATATGAAATATATACAAATATATTGAAAAACTGTAAACAAAATGAAATATGTACATTTAATATTTAATTTTAAAAAATACTATAAAAAACTTATAGCTTTTACAGTAAAACAAAAAAATGAAAAAAAATGTACTATTGTTTTATTACATTTTCATATGCAAAACTGTAAACAACAAAATTAACAATGTCAATAATAATTTCACTTATTTACTTTTTAAATACAATTCAAGTTTCACTTCTGAAATAAAATGTAGATTTAGATTTTATTTATATTAAAGGGGTCATATGTGATGCGATTACAATTTTTCTTTCTCTTTGGAGTGTTACAAGCTCTTGGTGCATAAAGAAGATCTGTAAAGTTGCAAAGACTAAAGTCTCAAATCCAAAGAGATATTCTTTATAAAAGTTTAGAGTCAGCCACACCTACCTAAAACGGCTCGTTCTAACACGCCCCCACATGTCTACATCACTATGTGGGAAGATTTGCATAACAAATAAATTACTACTACTAATAATAATACACTCTATATAATTTCCATTTTTATTGTTATTGAATTATACATAAATAAATATACAATTATTATAAATATATGTATAATATATAAAATTATACAACGATTTTATTATATATAATCATCTAAAATAATAATTGTTTAATAATAATTATGATTGATAAATAATGTAATGAATGTCACACATGAAATCTCACGCTGATGCTCCACACTAGTCCAGTCCGTGGCGCTAATGCACCGAAAGCTGGCTTGCAACCTAACAATCAAACGTCTCAAGAAGAAGCAGCTGCAGCAGCAGCAGCAGCAGCACACATGAGATGAATAATTTCCATGAGCTTTATGTGATTGTTTTGTAAATGTCTGTAGTGTGTGCGCACTCCTGCGGCTGGCTGCTGGACTCCTGCTCTCACATCGATGAGGGTTTGCAGCGCTGTGTTTCTTACAGTGATGGGCTTGAAAAGCCTAAATACTTCAGATGCTGTTTCAAGAGGGAGTATTTTAATACGGTGAAACCCCACGTTCAGATTCAACAAAACACTGATATCTTCACTAGCACTGCAAAACATAGCAATGGTGAACATGCAAAGATTGATCTGCAAACACGAAAGGTAGGCAACAGAAAAAGCAGAACAAAACACTTATTTATGTCACATTTATTGTCATTTTAGTTGATATACTGTGCTCGATTATTTACAAAAAGTCTCTGGAGGTTGCTGTATGATTCTTTACTGGGGGTTTTTTTCTTTATTTGCAGAAACGAAAGAGAAAGCAGCGTGATCTTAATGCAGGAGAGTTAGATGCCCAAATTTATCATGGAAAGGTGACAAAATTGGCTGGTTTTATGCTTTATTCATTTCTTACATCAACAAAACTTTAAGCAATGTGTATAATTTCATCATAATCATTTGAAACTAATCGTAATGGGATCAAATAATATTTATTTTATTATTATAATTTTCCTACATTAGGAATTGTGCGTTGTAGATTAAAAAAAAAGGCGAACATTATAGTACAACAGTACGACTAAATTGTCACAACCCTAATGTTTAATTCTGTGTGGCAAACAGTGGTCATTTTGCATTGTATACATTAAAAATGGTCAGAAAAATCAGATTAAATAATGATTCAAGAAAAAAAGTAAATCAAAATTTGTCACACTGGAAAATTAAAGTGGAGTTCACTGGAAGGTTAAGTTAAGTGTATTGCTCGGTGGGATATGGTATTCCACACATTGTATTCTGTTGTACTGCATTTTTTGGCAAATTCTGTCTTAGTGATAGGCAGCAGTTTGTTTGTATTAAAAATATAACAAAATTAACACGTAAAATAAAGTAAATTTAAAAGAAAATCTAATATATTATTACTTTTTTAGTTTTGAAATAAAAAAATAATTGAAAATGTAATTTTAAATTTAAATAAAATAGGTAAGTAAATTAATATAATATTAAATTTAATAAACGTTGTTAGAGCTCTTACAGAAAAAAGTTAATACATTGAAAGTTACTATTTGTACATTTTCATCTGTAAACAAAATACAGAACACACCACATTAAAAACATATTTAAAATCTAACAAAAGGGCAAAAAATAAAAACGCCACAATGAAAACAGGCAAGTAAATAACTATAATATTTAATAAGTAAACACTTTTCGAGCTCTTACTGTAAAGTTCCGAGTCGATCTCTCTTCGGTCCGTCGTGCTAATAACAAAAGTCTCCTTTGCCGACAGGGAAAACTCCTGAAATCGAAATAAAACCATGACACTGCTGGATTTAAACACGGTTTAACCCCTTAACTGTCACCGTCCCACAGTTTGGCGCTCTTTTTTGTTGTTGTCCTTTTTCTCTATCAAATCTTTTAGTAATCATCATAAATCATATATCATTTGAAAGCTTAGAAGCCCCAAGATTCATCCTCTGAAAACCATTTTGAAATCGGACATTGCGTTACCATAGAAATGGTACCTTTTAGAATCAAACCTTTTTATAATCTTGACAAGAAACATATCACTGGAAAGGTCTGAGTCTCAGGATTCCATATTTAGTGGTTATTTTGAGCTAGACATAATATTGACAGAGAAATCTAGACATTTGTGACAGAAAAAGTTTTTAATGGGAGTTTGCATGGCACCCGGTGGCTGTTTGTGGTATAAAATCGCCCTAAATAAAATCTCACAGGAACCTCAATTTTTTTCATATCAACTTCAAATTTGGAACATAACTTATTTAGACATAAGGCTTTAATTTTATACCAATTTTAGAGTAAAACCTATTATGCAAAATATTTATAATAAATAAAATAAAATATAGTGCCTCTATAAACCTCTATAACTTTTTGAAAAAAATTCCACTTTTGCAATAATCTACTGATTTTCTTTACTCGTGCTTTCAATGCAGCTCCTCCATCTACAGCCCAAGTCCATCACCGTCCAGAGAGGAGAAATAACAACAATATTATTATTATTATTATTAATACTACTACTATTATTATCACTATCACTACCATTACTATAATTATTAATAATAACAACAGCCTATCTATATTCTGTTCATTAATTGTTAATAAATTACAACAATTTAAGTTTGGATAGTGCACTTTCATGCCTATTTTAAAAAACGGGGGGTGACAGTTAAGGGTTTAATGCAGGACTCGAGCTGAATTAACGTTACTCTGGTAAACGCGGTGTTACCTGTCTCAGAGCCCGCAGGAAGCCGCTGTAGTCCAGCTCCGCGGTGTCTAGGAGCGTCGGCGGCGTCGGCGTCGACGCGGCGCGGCTCTCCGAGCGGCAGTCGTACACACACACCGACCTCGGCGCCTTTTTCCGCCGGTCTCGTTCCGCAAGGCTCGGTTCTCGGTCCACTTCTCTTTTTAATTTGGCATATTCTGTCTTCGTGATAGGCAGCAGTTTGTTTGTATTCAAAAACAGACATCATAAACTGTTTTTGTTTGAGGTGTTCTGCAAGGCTCGGTTCTCGGTCCATTTCTCTTTTTAATTTGGCATAGGGCTGCACGATAAATCGCATGCGATATTTAATGCGCATCTTGTCAGAAATCCGGTTCTGTAATCAGCGTTAGAAGCCCCAAGATTCATCCTCTGAAAACCATTTTGAAATCGGACATTGCGTTACCATAGAAATGGTACTTTAAAATCTTTTGGCAGTCTCCTCCCCCTTAGTGGGCGGTGTCAAGTGTCGTATTACAAAATGCATTACGCTCTTTTAGAATCAAACCTTTTTATAATCTTGACAAGAAACATATCACTGGAAAGGTCTGAGTCTCAGGATTCCATATTTAGTGGTTATTTTGAGCTAGACATAATATTGACAGAGAAATCTAGACATTTGTGACAGAAAAAGTTTTTAATGGGAGTTTGCATGGCACCCGGTGGCTGTTTGTGGTATAAAATCGCCCTAAATAAAATCTCACAGGAACCTCAATTTTTTTCATATCAACTTCAAATTTGGAACATAACTTATTTAGACATAAGGCTTTAATTTTATACCAATTTTAGAGTAAAACCTATTATGCAAAATATTTATAATAAATAAAATAAAATATAGTGCCTCTATAAACCTCTATAACTTTTTGAAAAAAATTCCACTTTTGCAATAATCTACTGATTTTCTTTACTCGTGCTTTCAATGCAGCTCCTCCATCTACAGCCCAAGTCCATCACCGTCCAGAGAGGAGAAATAACAACAATATTATTATTATTATTATTAATACTACTACTATTATTATCACTATCACTACCATTACTATAATTATTAATAATAACAACAGCCTATCTATATTCTGTTCATTAATTGTTAATAAATTACAACAATTTAAGTTTGGATAGTGCACTTTCATGCCTATTTTAAAAAACGGGGGGTGACAGTTAAGGGTTTAATGCAGGACTCGAGCTGAATTAACGTTACTCTGGTTGTTCACTGACGAGCTGCGCAAAAAATCGCGTGAATATGAACTTGGTTTTGCGCAGCTCGTCAGTGAACAACAGCTCTGTGTAGATAATGCTGCTCAATGTGAAAGCACGCACGTGATGGAGATTTACTGCTGATTACAGAACCGGCTTTACTAACAAGATGCGCATTCACTTTCATGCCTATTTTAAAAAACGGGGGGTGACAGTTAAGGGTTTAATGCAGGACTCGAGCTGAATTAACGTTACTCTGGTAAACGCGGTGTTACCTGTCTCAGAGCCCGCAGGAAGCCGCTGTAGTCCAGCTCCGCGGTGTCTAGGAGCGTCGGCGGCGTCGGCGTCGACGCGGCGCGGCTCTCCGAGCGGCAGTCGTACACACACACCGACCTCGGCGCCTTTTTCCGCCGGTCTCGCTCCGCTCCGGCCTCCGTCATTTTCGATTTCGATTCCAAACCAGCGACCTCTGACACATAACAACGATAAAAACTCACCGCTTCGTCTCTGACATGTTTATCTTCAGGTTTAGATGTGTTGTCTGATGTCCACCCGTCTGATATTCAGACTAATATTCAAGAGTAACCTGCTGATTTCATGAAGTCTGTAAACTTAAAGACTTCGCGCCAGGAACATCAACCCGAATTCCGTCTTTCTGCGGCAGCATTAGTTCTTCTCTGTTGTTTCACGGCGGTTGGCAAACAATCCTACACGACAAACTCCGCCCCCTACTGGATGGAGTGTGAAGCGAGCACAAATAAATAAATAATAAGTATAATAATAAGTATATATAATTTTATTTTATAATGCATAAATTAATACACAATTATATACATACGTTGTACAGCCCTAATTTGGCATATTCTGTCTTAGTGATAGGCAGCAGTTTGTTTGTATTAAAAAACAGACATCATAAACTGTTTCCGTTTGAGGTGTTCCACAAGGCTCGGTTCTTGGTCCACTTCTCTTTTTAATTTGGCAAATTCTGTCTTAGTGATAGGCAGCAGTTTGTTTGTATTAAAAACAGACATCATAAACTGTTTCCATTTGAGGTGTTCCACAAGGCTCGGTTCTTGGTCCACTTCTCTTTTTAATTTGGCAAATTCTGTCTTAGTGATAGGCAGCAGTTTGTTTGTATTAAAAACAGACATCATAAACTGTTTCCATTTGAGGTGTTCCTCAAGGCTCAGTTCTTGGTCCACTTCTCTTTTTTTTATTTGATATGCTTCCCATGGGTCTGATTATTCGGCAGCATGGCATAAATTTCAAATGGCATAATGATTTAAAATCATTAAAGAACAACTGCATTCATGATCTGAAACCATGAATGCTGCTAGCTTTTTGAAACTAAATACTGACAACACTGAACGTTTGTTAGTAGATCTTTCATGTACAGTACTCAGTGCATACTGAAAATGGAGTGATTCCAAATTATGATAGAAATTCCTTCAATCATAATTCCTTCATTCCTTTTGTTTTACTTGTCATTTTAGCATACAAATTTTCCTTCTTTTTTTGTCCTCTATGGCTTGTTTTGATCTTTTCTCAGATCAGGTTGGTGGTTCTGGAGGGCTCTCGGACTCTTTTGGAAGCTGGACGTCAGTGTGGATACTTGACAGAAGTTTTGACCGCACCACCTTCTGAATCCATGTCATCACTTGAGTGCCGGCTAGCTGCGTTATGTGACATGGCCAAGCAGCTCCCGTTAACAGACGATTCTGTGGAGGCACCAGTGCAGACGTTGAACAGAGATGGTCTGGACCCATCGCTGGATCTGTTCTCATACATCACTGAAAACCCATTCGACTGCGCTTATGAGGTCACGTTGATGAAGGAGAAGTATCTTTTGCCGCCCCGCAGCCGGTTCCTATTGTCTGACATCACACGTATGCATCCACTTACCAACAGTGAGTTCAATCACAGAATTTTAATTTACTATTCTAGCACCATAGAGTATTTTGTTTTTGATGCAGAGCAGCTAAATGGCTCGAAGTTTTCATGACTAGTGCAATTTTAGTATTATTAATATACTATTGTGATATTTATTCATATTTGAGCTTTTTTAATTTTCAGTTTTAAACGTTTTATTTTAATTTTTAATTATATATTTAATTTTAATGTAACAGTTGTATTTTTATTAACTAAAAATAACAAATATTATACAGTAACAAATGTATTGTTCATTGCTAATTCATGTTAGGTAATGCATTACCAGTTTTTTTTTTGTTTTTTTTTGTAGTTTTGTTATGCTACTTTAAATGCTGCCAATTTTGCATAATTTTGTGACCCTACAGGTTCATTGTCTTAAATATATACAGTAATAAAACAAATTTCAGTGATATTTTTTAGACTTTTTTTTTAACGCTTTAAACATTTCTTACATTAACCTGAGTCAACAAAACGTAAAGGAATCTGAACAGGATTCTTATTGGAATTTCATGTCAATTTGGAACAGATTCCAATGGGATCGCGTACAAATTTGTCCCTCTTTTTATTATTTATTATCTATTATTATCACTTTTATTTTTATTTTGGATGTTGTTTGCTTCCCATGGGTCTGATTATTTGGCAACATGTCTTGAATGTCCTTCTACACCTCAGTATGTTGATCTGTTAGTGTTGCATATTGCTGTATTTTGACTACAGGTGGAGACAGATTTGACCTTATAGTCCTTGATCCACCATGGGAGAACAAATCTGTCAAAAGAAGCAACAGGTATAAGTGTATTTCCTACCTGTAATAAGCCTGTAATAACACATTGCTGTGGACTGAAGTGATATCCTGCTGTGATTGACAGATACAGCTCTCTACCGTCGTCTCAGCTCAAGCAGCTTCCAGTGCCGGCACTGGCTGCTCCAGAATGCTTTGTGGTTACGTGGGTAACTAACCGGGCGAAGCACCTGCGTTTCATCAGAGAAGAGCTCTACCCGTACTGGGGGGTTGAAGTGCTGGCAGAGTGGCTGTGGGTGAAGGTAGACACAACCACAGCTGCACAAGAAGAGGAAAAATAGCCTAAACACTGATTAGGATTAGGATCACACTTGTGATATTTGGCGGTCAAAACAGACTGAAAAACAAACCTAATATTCGCTGTAAAATTTGTGCTGTATTTTCATATTTTTAATATTAACCTAAAATGTTGTTTGATCTAAAATAGAAGCTTGTTTCCACCATGGGGGAAAAAAGTCAGAATTAGATTGAAGAGATTTATGAAAAAATTTATGAGATAAAAAGTCACAATCACCTTTTTTGCTTTATCTTGTGGCAGAAACAAGTTTCCATAGAAGACCACCAGAGGATTAAAGATGAAAATGCCATCATCATTTACTCATTTTAATGTTTCATCTTCAAAAAAAAACAAATATAGTTATTTTTAACGAAACCTGCTTCATCCATTGAAAGTCCATTCATGCAAAATATTAATGCTTCAAAATGCAGAGATCGTTAAAGAAATCCATATGCATCAAGCAGTTTAATCTGAATCTTCAGTTACGAAGAATCAGCAAATAACACATCGAATTAAACAGAAAAATTTGAAAAACTGACATGGCATGTTCTTGTAAAACATACTCCAGTGATCTTTCTTTTATTTGCAGCTTTTATAGTGTAACTAATGGGTTTTCATAAAGTAAAAAAAAGCATAATAAATCATTACTCGTTTTAAGGATTATCAAAATAATGTAACATGACTTTTGAAAGTTTTTGCTCGGCTTGTGATGACCGTTTGGCTGAACCTCCAGGTGACCCGAACAGGAGAGTTTGTGTTTCCTCTGGATTCGCCGCACAAGAAGCCTTATGAAGTGCTGGTGCTCGGCAGGCATCGATCTGGCTCTGACCGCGCAGCCAGGTAATGTGTGTCCCGTTGGCGTCTTCTTTCTCTCATCTCTTTATGTTGTAAAGCTCAGTGTGTGTTGCAGGTCTTCAGCAGTGGAGGAGCTTCCAGAGCAGCGGCTCCTAATCAGCGTCCCATCAGTCCTGCACTCCCATAAGCCTTCATTATCAGGTGCACACACTTAAACATGCCATACACAACTACTTTTATTTTCTCTGTGTACGTGATTTTTTTTTTGTTTGTATGTTTTTTGTTTTGCTCATTTTTGTTCATATGTGACCCTGGAGCACAAAAGCAGTCTTAAGTCGCTGGGGTATGTTTGTAGCAATAGCCCAAAATACATTGTATGGGTCAAAATTATTGATTTTTCTTTTATGCCAAAAATCATTAGGATATTAAGTAAAGATCATGTTCCATGAAGATATTTTGTACATTTCCTACCGTAAGTATATCAAAATTTAATTTTTGATAAGTAATATGCATTGCTAAGAACTTCATTTGGACAACTTTAAAGGCGATTTTCTCAATATTTTGATTTTTTTTTTACACCCTCAGATTCCAGATTTTCAAATAATCGTATCTCAGCCAAATATTGTCCTATCATAACAAACCATACATCAATGGAAAGCTTATTTATTCAGCTTTCAGGTGATGTATAAATATTAATTTCAAAAAATTGACCCTTATGACTGGTTTTGTGGTCCAGGGTATAATCCAATATAATCAGGTCATCCTTCATTTTGGTCTGTGCCTCCTATGTACATTTTAGCATACATTTATGTTGAAATAATATACTTTAAAACAATATACTTAAGTGCAAACTACATGAATTGCATGTTAATTGCAAATCAAATGAAAATGTGTTGTGGTTTAAATGCAATTAGCTGAACTTGTTTTTACAGTGTTTTTGACCCACTTAAGTAGGACTTAAGTCCCCATCTTTATAATTATTTCTAGTGTCTTTGAAATATGGTTAAAGTACTGCTGAATGTACTGACAAGCATTTATCAGTCTGAAACTTATCAGTCATGTATTTAAATGTCTTTGTAATTACACATTTGTAATGAAGAAGTTGCAATTAAGTACATTTAAAATATGATCATTTTAAATGTAATATCAAATAACATACTACACTTATAATCAAGTACTTGTATGTTAGTCAAACATTTTTTTAAAGCACAACAAAAATCGTATTTAATCATAATTGTGTAAAATGTACTTTAAAGTAAAACTTTATAAAAGAGCACTTAAGTCTGTTAATAAACCGTCATATATGTGTCTCGCTTTGAGTAATTCAAGTGGCTTTTTATTTCTTTAATGCTCTTTTATTTTATTTATTTTTATGCATTCATAATCTATAAGTACAGTTTTAATTTTAAGATTTAAAGTACACTACAAGTGCACATTCAAAACAATTAAGCACACTTCTTTTTCACAAGGGTATCTTTTGCATGGAAAGACCAGTTTTGTTATTTATTACTAATCGATCTGTAGTTTGTTGTGGTGTGTTTTGTCCTGCTGATGTTGACGTTTGGGGTCCACAGACAGTCTGGAGTTTCTTGGTATAAAAAAAAAGATTTATAGCTTTGGTGCTGATTCTGTCTCTGATGTCCTACAGCTGTGTTAAAGCCCTACATTAGCCCCGAGCCCAAGTGTTTAGAGCTGTTTGCCCGAAGTCTCCAGTGCGACTGGACCAGCTGGGGAAACGAAGCCATCAGGTTCCAGCACAGCAGCTATTTCACCAGAGAGAGAGTCGAGGAGCCTTCTGGGACATCTGAGACACCTAATATTACACCTAATATTTCTAAATCAGCTTTCAGTTCACTT